TGAGGAGTCCACCTTCCTTTCCCCATCTTGAATTTTGTCATCCAAAGAGTCAACTTTGTCTTCCACTTCCTCAAGCCTTGCATCGAGCTTAACCACCACAGTAGCCAAACCTGAAACAGCTGCCAGTATATCTTGTCGTAAGTCATTATTGTTTTCTTGCAATTTAGTCTTTATCCCCGTTATCTCTTCTTTGAGATCAGATTTAATTTCTGATTTAATCTGTGAGACAAATTGATTCATTTCCTCTCTCATTTGAACTACAATCTCTCCCATTATGCCTCTAAACTCTTGTGCTGAAAGTCCAGATAGAGGAGGGGAGGGTGGTGGCTGAGCCGGTGGTACATGTTTAGATTGTTGTTGTAGCTGTGCAGTGGAAGTTATAGGAGAAGAAATAACCTTGGGTATTGAGGAAGGCTGCTGCCTCTTTTAAGCCATTTTAAAAAGCACAATTGTCACTTCCCTTTCCCCTCCAGCCAGGAAGGGAGGAGGGAAAAAAAAGAAAAAATTTTTTAAAAAGAGACAAACTATAGTCCTTGAAAGTCCAGAGTAAATCCAAAGAATAAAAAATAAAAGAGCAAACAATTCAAAAGAAAAAATTCTAAGCCAAAAGCAAAAGTAAAAGCAAAAACCAGTCCTTAAAAAGGGAAAGTAAAACAAACGAGAAAGGAAAAAAAAACTCCGACACTTTCAAAGCGCCATCTTAAATCCTTTCACTAATATAACAAAAAAAGGAGGAAAAATAGTAGAAATCAAAAAATAAAAAAAATAAACACCTAAATTATAACAAAAAATCCTTTAAACTGCTCCGTCCGTTTAAAAATTACTCACCAGAATGCTATAAACACGGAGATAGAAGCGGCGGTTTCTTTTGCTTCCTAGGAAGCAAAAACAGATGGGAGGCGGAGATCAGCAGGAGCTCCGAGGGAACACTCCTTTCACCCCCTCTAGAAACAAATCCAGAGGGGGGTCAGGGGTTCTACCTCTATCCCTGCACTCTCTGTCCCTTCCCTTTGCCCGGGAAGGGATTTTCGAGCCGCGGGCCAGCTGATGCACGCTGCGCTCCGCGGCTCTGACACTTCCCCAGCTGGACGGCTAAAAGCTAGCCGCCATCGCCGTCGCCTCACACCGGAAGCTCCTGGGCCAGTTGCTTTCATTCATTCAATCTATCAGAATAGAGCTGGAAGGAACCTCGGAGGTCTTCTAGTCCAACCCTCTGGCTCAAGCAGGAGATCCGGTCTACACTATTTCAGACAAGTGGTTTGTCTTATCAGTTGTCTCATCCCAACTTGCTCAGGGTTGTTGTGGGGAAAATAGGAGGAGGAAACTGTGTTGGATATGTTCACCACCTTGACTTACGTATTTGTGAAAATAATAAAGGCAGGAAAAATAGTTGTTAGTGGCTATATGTCCATCCTGCCTGATGGGGAGATTGTAGAAACACTTTTGGAAACTTTCACCTTGCAGAGAAAAAAACTGCTTCTTACACATTCAAGTGGGGAGGAAAATAAAAAATTAGTTCACTTATTATTTTTTCTTCTATTGGAAATTTAGTTCCCTATAAAACAATTTACAGCCTTCCTGTATAGCTAGTCCATAGGAACCCTACAGGCTGATTTGCCCTCTCCAAAGAAATGTTGATTTCAATAAAATAATTAAAGTTTCCTTTTCTTAATAACTAGTAACAGGGAGGGAAGACTTCAGGTGTCAAAACGAAGGTCATGTGGGATCCCCAGCTAAGGCGCTTGCATATTGAGGGGAGGGGAGAATATCAGATGTTAGTAAACTGGTGCTGTGGGATGGGTAATCTCTGAAAAGCTTAGTACTGCATCCCTGGAAGCAGGTCAGAGCCTGAGGGTTGCTAGGAGTTGTAGACCAGCAATATCGGGATTGTGATTGTTCTCAAGTCCTGAATAGTAGGTTGGGCGTGAATAACTCATTTTTTCCTTCTCTCTCCCAGAAAACTTTGTTATTGATCTCCTGCCTGTTTTAAACTCTATAGTCCCGAGATAAGTCATATCAGGCAGATCTAACTCAGATTTCAGCACTGCAGTGTCAGACTCCTTAACTTGGATAGGAGATTTCCAGCATCCTCCTGGGTGAAACTGGAAAATGTCCTAGAAAAAGGCCACGAGAGACTGCAACATTGCCCCAAAAAAACCCCTAATGTGGCCACAGAGTCATCAGGATTGAACTCAACTTGGATACTTTATCTTTCACCAGAGGAAATTGGGGAAATTATGATCAGACTTACTTTGTCTGATGCCTTCATCCCCAGCCAAAATAGCCTGGCTGAGCTTTTTCTAACCAGCAAGCCAGACTGATACGATGGCTGAAATTTGGTTTGTGATCTCTTATTGTAGATTGTCTCTGAGCCTGTTGTCATGTTTTTAATAGCAACTGAGCATACCGGCTTATCTAGGCCAGTGTTTCTCAACCTTGGCAGTGTTAAGATGTATGGACCTCAACCCAGAATTCCCCAGCCAGCATGTCCACACAGAGTGCAGAGAAGAGCAACAAAGATGATTAGAGGACCAACGGCTAAAACATATGAAGAACGGTTGCAGGAATTGGGTATGTCGAGTTGAATGAAAAGAAGAGAGTGGTCAACCTGTTCTCCAAAGCACCTGAAGATAGAAGCAATGGATGGAAACTAATCAAGGAGAGAAGCAACCTAGAACTAAGGAGAAATTTCCTGACAGTGAGAACAATTAATCAGTGGAATGACTTTCCTCCAGAAGTTGTGGGTACTTCAACACTGGAGGTTTTTAAGCAGAGATTGGACAACCATTTGTCTGAAATGGTATAGAGTTTCCTGCCTGAGCAAGGGGTTGGACTAGAAGACCTCCAAGGTCCCTTCCAACTCTGTTATTCTATTATCTTAAAAGTTGCCAAGGTTAAGCCCAGAATTTAAGGGAAAATTTTTATAAAATGTTTTATAGATGGCACCTTGATCCACAAAAGATGTCTCTCATGTATCCTGACTTACAGCCTAAATGTTGGAGATGTGGTTGTTTGGATGCCACTTATTATCATATTTGGTGGTCGTGTAAAAATATAAAAGCTTTTTGGATTAAGATATGGTGGAACATTCAGAGAATTTTTAGAAAGAGGGTAAAATTTACTCCACAATTGTTTTTGCTTGGTATTGTTACTGATTGTGATGCTAAGGAAGTTATATTGATGTTGAATTTGATCACAGCCGCAAGGCTGTTAGTAGGTCAATATTGGAAGAAGGAATCTTTGCCTACTTTGCAAGAGTGGTTTTTTAAAGTATCTTATTTGGCGGAAATGGCAAAGATTTCGGCTTTCTTAAAAGAGCAAACGCAAGAGAAATTTTTTGCTGTATGGGAAAAATGGATAAATTTTATACAATTTAAATTGGATATGAAAAAATACCATTTAGCTTTTTTATAATTTGTATAAAAACTCTACTTTTTCTTTTTCTTTTCTTTTCTTTTTTAAATACTTCTTCTTTTTAAGGTTTATAATTCTGTATTCATATATATTTTGTTCTTAATTATCTTATAATTTTGTTAATTTCTTTTAATTAAGCCTATATTCTGCTCTGGAAAGCTGGGGGGGGAGGGAGGGGGTGATTTGGGGGGGGTTGGGGGAGGGTTGTATTGTTTTTGTTTGTTTGTTTGTTTGTTTTTTGTGTTGTTGTTGTTATTGTTTTTTTTTCTGTCTCTGTAAAAGTTTTTAAAAAATTTTCAATAAAAAAGTTGCCAAGGTTGAGAAACACTAATTTGTAAACTTAATTTTTGCATGTCACATTAGTCCCGCAACTACACTAATTTCTCCTTAGTTTACAGCAGTCAGTAAAAATGTGGGGAAAAGTGAGTTCTGTGTATTGCAGAGGACAATTCTGTGAGAATTCCTTTCCAGAAACAGTTTGTAAAGTTAGGGATTATTTGTTTGTACTTTGACTTCAGCTTCAATTATCAGATGCTGAGCCAACAGACCAGGTCCATAAAGAGGTTTTCATAAGAAATTCCAATCAACTTCTAAAGGATTTATTCCAGGTAAACTTTATTCAAGTCCAACTGAAGAAGATACTTTGAATTAAGTTGAGAAGCTTCGGCTGTAGTGCTATAAAAATTTTACACAATAAATTGGCCTATTGTAGCTTTTTTTTTTATTTTAGCTTATAGAGTTTTAATTAAAAAGATATCAAGCCACAAAATATACTAATGATTATACAATATGAAAAGTCTACATACATAGTGATTAAAATAAAATAATAAAAGCAACAACAAAAAGTAATAAGATCCACACAGTGTCAGGACATATTTCTTTTTTTTTTAATGTTTTTTTATTGTAAAATATTTTTAGCATTTTAATTTTAATATATTTTTTTAATTGTAAGCTGCCCAAAGTAATTGAGATGAGTGGCTATGGTGACTGAAAAATAAATAAATATTCATATAATTGAATTTAATATTTAATCTTACTGTTAAATCTACAGCATATAAAAACATACCATTTCATCTTTTCATTTTTAAAATATAATAACATTTCAAAAATCAGTAACAAACAAATCCATTCCTAAACATCAGGAAGCTGATTTTCTTTCCATCTTTGCAAGTTTATTTTCTTTGCAAGACCCAGGCTTGATAAAGCCATTGCTTTTCATAAGATGACATCCCATAATTTAGAAATACAATTTAATGTCAATTAACATCTTTTGCTGTTATATTTCTTCTCAAAATTGTAAGGATAGTTAAAAAGAGGTGCTACAGAGTACCTTCTGATTTTTGACCCTGTTTGTACAATAATACTTGCAAAATTCAGCTGGACTATTTTTTCCCAAGGAAATGTGCTAGGATTGCAAATTTATCTGGGTATCATTGAAACCTGTGCTGATGTGCAACCAGTGTCCAATAATTGTTCCTTGACAGGGATGTTGCAAAGTTCTCCTATCCTTTTAAGAGAACTTAAAATCTTTATTCCCACAAAGGAATTTTGTCAACTGAGCCGCCTGTCACCGGATCTCCAGCTGTTGTGGAAGAGATTTGTTTAAACAGCTAAGGTCCAAAGTGCCAAAAAGCATCATCAGGGTTCTAATCCCACCCCTCTCCACGGAGCCTCCCACCTCCCAGGAATTCCAAAAATTTACTTAGTACAACCAGTTGGGCAAGAGAAAAGGCTACAGAGCGGACGATACCGGGAAGCCTAGACCAGACCTTCAGGTGAGCAGCTGCCCCCCTCCCCCTTTTAATTTGCCATAAGTGGGATCTAGAGAGAAATAAAGAGCAGGGTTGATCAATGTAAAATGAAGATCAAGAGGTAGCCAAAAAGGACCACGCCACTGTTTTACTTGATGTCCTTTTCCTTTCCTTGGCAATGAACCGGAAATACAGTAGTTTTCCTGAGATTTTATGTTTCTTTATTTGTTTGTGGGAGGTTTCGCTGGTTTAATGGGTTGCCTTGTTCCTCCGGGCTGTTTTAAGATTTGATCATGTCTGTCGAGCGGCACTAAACTGGCAGAGATTGCAAATCTTCTCTTAGCTTATCCTTTAAGGGGGGAAATAGTAGAATCAAATACCCATTTCTTTAGGAGGTAAATTTTATACATGTCTTTGTTGCCCTTTTTGAGGAAAAAACTTCCAAAAGGTACAATACTGTAACTTTTTTTAATTCACTTGAATAGGTGAGGAATTACAGAATAAGCTTCCTAAGAATTTCTTGGGAGGCTGTAAGAATTATTTAAAGCCACAGTTTTGAGGAAAGCGAATGACAGAGTTCATATGTGATGCTAAACTATGATTTGTTTAGCCACAGTTTCTTCATTATAATTGCTAATCTGTGTCTTTTTAACTTTTCCTGACACACCAACTTTATTGATTTGGGCTTCTCTCTGCTATGGGAATTACTGGGACTAACACATTCATTTTGGATGAAAAGGACCTGGAAACTTAGAATATTTCTGTAAAATTGATTTGAATCAGAAACGTTTGTGAGGGATTCTGGAGTGGGATTTCCCGAGTAAGAGGATCAGTATCACTTGTGTAGATAGTCCTCAAATTATGACAATTGTGACTAGAACTTCTGTCACTACATGATGCGGTCATTAAATGAGTCGTGCCTGGTTTTACGGCCTTTTTTGACATGGTTGTTAAGCGAATCACCATGGTCATTAAGGGACATGCAATTGTTAAGCAAATTCTCTTTTCTCACTGACATGGCTTGTCAGAAGCCCCAGAAAAGTTGCAAATGGCAATCACGTGACTTCAGGACACTGCAACTGTTGTTAATCCATGCCAGTTCCCAACAACCCAATTCTGATGACATCACCATGGAGACGCTGCCATGGTTTTAAGTGCAGGGACTGATTGTAACTATTTTCAGCGCCATTGTAAAGTTAAGCAGTCACTAAATGAATAGTCACAAATCAATCAGAATAGAGGTGGAAGGGCCCTTGGAGGTCTTCTAGTCCAACCCCTTGCTCAAACAGGAGACTCTAGTCTATACCTTTTCAGACAGTCTCTTCTTAAAAACCTCCAGTGATGAAACATCCACAACTTCTGATAGCAAACCATTCCACTAGTTAATTGTCCTCAATCTATCAAAATAGAGCTAGAAGGGATCTTGGAGGTCTTTTAAGTCCAATCCCCTGTTCAAACAGGAGATCCTATAACCTTTCAGATAGGTGGCTGTCCAGTCTTTTCTTAAAAACCTCCAGTGTTGGAGCATTCACAGCTTCTGGAGGCAGGTTGTTCCACTGGTTAATTGTTCTCACTGTTAGAAGTTTCTCCTTAATTCCAGGTTGCTTCTCTCCTTTATTAGTTTCCATCCATTGTTTCGTGTCTTGCCTCATGGTGCTTTGGAAAATAAGTTGACCCCTCCTCCTCTTTGTGGCAACCCTTCAAATACTGGAATACTGCTATCCTGTTCCCCCTAGTCCTTCTTTTCTCCAGACTAGCCATACCCAATTCCTGTTCTTCAGGTATTTTTGCCTCCAGGCCTTTAATCATCTTAGTTGCTCTTCTTTGCACCTGTATATGGTGATAATAATACACAGTTGCATTTTGAGCCAGACTCTTAAAAGGCACAGAGAGTCAACTGGGTATTTAGTAGTTATCTCAAAATCTGAGCCTAGAAGTCAGAAGTGAGAACAGTGGAATTTGTGTACCTGCTGAAGTTCTGAAACTGGGCCAGGCCATCCCTCTGGCTGCATCACCACATGCAATTTCCTGGTTTCTTTTCTGACCCCCAAGTGCCCTTGAACATTTTTGGATGGGGAACACTTAAGAACCTAGCAGAGATAAAACATACACTCCTTATGCTGCACTCAGGCTCAACCAGCATTAACCAACATTTGCTTAACAACAATCATGGCAAAAAAAACCTTGTAAAATGGGACACAACTCACAACAATTGCCTTGCTTAACTATGGGAATTCTGATTCTAATTGTAGTCACTGTGTCTGAACAGTTTATCCTCGACTTATGACCACAATTGAACCCAACATTTCTGTTGCTAAGTGAGATATCTGTTGAGTTTTGCCCCGTTTTGCGACCTTTCTATCTTGGCACGGTTGTTAAGCGAATCACTGCAGTTGTTAAAGTTAGTAACATGGTTGTTAAGTGAATCCGGCTTCCCTACTGTCAGAAGGGGATCCCATGACCCTGGGACATTGCAATGGTCATATGTATGAGTCAGTTGCCAAGTGTCTTAATTTTGATCACCTGACCATGGGCATGCTACAACGGTCATAAGTCACTTTGTTCAGTGCCATTGTAACTTCAGTCATTAAATGAACTGTTGTAAGCCAAGGACTACCTATATGGTCTGATACAACTTTGCCAACATCCTTGTGGTTTCCTTTTAGTCATCATGGCTTCCCACCCAAACCTCTCACACCTTCTCCCTGCCGCCCGACTGCGTCAGCTCGCCCGAGATTGGCTGCAAGAAGACGGCCCCAGCTTTGATTACGGTGGCTATGCCGTGGGCAACCATCGTGTGTGTGCTGTGCTCTTCTGTAAATCCCCCGGAGTCTTGGCTGGCTTCCCTTTCTTTGATGCCATCTTTGCCGAAGTCGGCTGCTCGGTGGAATGGCTCCAAAGCGAAGGAACCTGGGTTGAACCTGTCACCCGAGTGGCTGAAGTCCACGGTCGTGCCAATGACCTCTTGCTGGGTGAGCGAGTGGCTCTGAACTGTCTGGGACGCTGCAGTGGTGTTGCCACATCAGCAGCAAAAGCTTGTCGGGCAGCACAGGAAGCCGGGTGGCATGGAGAGGTCGCTGGGACAAGGAAGACCACCCCGGGGTTCCGTCTCCCAGAAAAATATGCACTTCTGGTCGGGGGAGCCTCCTGTCACCGTTACGATCTGGGAAGCCTCATCATGTTGAAGGACAACCATATCTGGGCGTCTGGCAGTATTACCCAAGTGAGTACACAAAAGCAAAGGTATTCATATCATACAATGATTGTGATCAAGGCTGCAATCTTCTAAATCAGTGGTTCTCAACCTGTGGGGTCGAACGACCATTTCACGGGGGTCGCCAAACAACGCAGTCCGCCATTTTTTTCCCCTTTTCCTTAGCTGTGCTACTCCCTTTTATTCTATTGGCTTTTGAAAGCCAATAGAATAGACTCTCTTGAATAGAGTCTAATTCTATTGGCTTTCAAAAGCCAATAGGAATTGTCCAGGCTGTCTCTGCCCTGCTGAGCCCGCCAAAAGTCCCATTCTGCAAACGGTGCTGCACCAGTTGAGTAGTCCTCAACTTACGACCGGTTGAGTAGTCCTCAACTTACGACCGGTTGGGGGTCGCGGCATTAAAAAGGTTGAGAACCACTGTTCTAAATGATTGCTAAAGGCAGCAGAGAATAAGGGTTTTCCATATCTCTCTGCTGCCCCCAGTAGTTGATCTGAGTGTTGCAGTCCAGCTTTGGAAGCTATACAAATCAGCCTTAAAAAAAAATGCCTAAATCCAATATAGACTCAGTTAAAAAAAAAAAAAAAAACCTTAACTGCTCTGCATTATTCATTAAATTGGTGTTAGTCTTAAAATTAGCACTGATTACAATCTTTAGATAATATTTAGTTTTGTACTACAGCGTGTGCTACATGATAATATAGTGACAAGGGGACGTATGTCTCAGTTTTGTTAACCATCACTTGTTATCTAGATTGAAAATTATATTGAGCTATAAACTATAGTTTACAAACAATAGTGGACAGATTCAGAATCATTTCAGCTTTTTTGACCTGGCAGGATCTTTTTGCTGTTATAACTGACTGTTTTTATATTTTATTAATAATTTCATTTAAATTGTTGCAAACTGAATGCACCTTTGAAAATAGAGGAAATAATTCTTTTAATTTTTTTTTAAAAATAATCTCCTTTTGTTGGCTGGGACTGTTTATAGCGGGATTTCCTAACCGGGGCGACTCTAAGACATGTGGACTTCAACTCCCAGAATTCCCCAGCCAGATTTGATAGCTGGGGATTTCTGGGAATTGAAGTCCACACGTCTTAAAGTTGCCAAGGTTGGGAAACCTGGATTGCAAAATTAGAAGCTGCATCCAAGTTTAAGCAGGCCTCATAGTGGCCCTCAATGGACCCAGTATAGGAGACCAGCTGTCCTAAGGAATGTCTTCTATAGCAGCGGCACCAAGGACCGGTTCCATGGAGAGAGGTTTTTCCTCTGACAAGAGGGGGTGTGTTTTCATGTGTTGCCTGCATCCCATGGATGGGGCTTCGCTTTTTTGCACAGCCGGGTTTCTGGCATGACATGGACCGATGCCCGCCCCTGGATTGAGGTTTGGGGACCCCTGTTCTACAGGAGACCTTTTCATGGAGGATCCAGCCATATGGCTGGCATTAGCATCCCTAAGGTTAGCTCAAGCTTCTGCAGGCATCAACATATAATCTAGACCGCTGCTGATATCACAATGTTTGCAATCCCACAGGCAGTTCACAATGCCCGACGGGTCGGTGGGTTTGCCCTGAAAATAGAAGTGGAGTGTGGCTCCTTAGAAGAAGCTCTCGAAGCATCAGGGTGTGGTGCTGATATTATCATGCTGGACAACTTTGCTCCTGAGGTATTTGGCTGAGAGAAGATGGGGCAGATCTAGAAACTAGAACTTATGACTGATTTTCTTTAAAAAAAAAAATAACAAAACAAAACTTGCAATTTATGGTTTGGTTCTTTTGGATTGATTTTGGTCGAAATAGTGACATTTGGAAGCTAAAATAGAGTTTCAAAGATTAAGAGGGCTGCTTTAAAAGCATCAGGCTCAAGATTGCATCTTCCTTCTGAAATCTCCCCCCCCCCAAAAAAATTATAATCAGCTGCCATTTCCTGGAAACAGGAATTAGGTTGCTGCAGGGTTTGGTTTAATTGTATTATTTATTTAGAATATGTATGTGTCACTATACATGACAGTTGTTCTTTGAAGAGTTTTACATAGTGAAACATGGCATACAAACATGTTTACAGTAAAACTGGTTAAACATGTTTACAGTAAAGCTGGTTACACTCACGATGTGGGCAAAGCTTTGACGTGGATATCTTCCACCCTTGAACAAAACATGATTGGTGAAGGTTCTGCTTCTGGAGAAGTCTTTAGGACCTCAGATTACACGTGTATTAAAAATAATAATAATCTTGTCTCATGTAGGACCATTCCCTCCCTTGGCTTGCCCTCAATTTGGACCTCATATTCCATATATTCCAAACTCTGATAGGTATCGTCATCGTTAAGACTGCAAAGGTCTCATCCTCTTGTTCATCTCTCTTATCTTCTCCTGCAGGACTTGCATCCTATAGCCAGCACCGTAAAGGCCTCATTCCCCCGTGTGACAATTGAAGCTAGTGGAGGAATCACCGAGCAGAATGTGATCCGCTTTGTGGGGCCCAATATTGATGTGATTTCCCTGGGTTGCCTCACCCAATCAGCCAAAGTGGTAGACTTCTCCCTCAAAATCAGCCGGGATCAGACTCCCAAGCCATCACTGCGCAATTTTGTTTTCTGAGGCGAGATGGGACAGCCAACCAAGATTTTCATGAAAATCTTTGGGAGATGGGTAGTTGAACAGGTTTGAAGAGGTAACAGGGGCTGAGTTGCACCTGCTGCTTATTAACTGTGTTGATCTAGGATGATGGGAGTTGTACTCCAAAATTTCTGGAAGACGGAAAATTTTTGTACAGGTTTTGCTTGGCAAAACCTCCCTAGGGATTTTTTTAAAGGATTATTTTCTTTCACAGGATCATTGGAACAGAACCAGCATCAGGGTTGAAGGGAGGGCAACTAGGTTTGCTGTCATAACTTCTTCAGCATATGTGATTTTTGACAGCAATAAAATGTACGCCATTCCCTTTCTACTTTCTCTGAATCTGTGCCTTGCATGCCTGCTGCAATCAATTTCACTAAGCTGGCCAAATAAATCTTTTTTTAAAAAATTAGTTGCTCCATTGTCATTTGTCAAAGTTGTTGTGGCCAGCAACATCAGCATTGCTCGTCTTCCACCCCACATTTGTCATGCATCTTTACATATGTCCAATCTCTTGAGTTGTCCAACCCAAATTGTGGTACTCTCTATCTTCATCACATCTCACCTCTTAGTCTACTGCATTCCTCAGCACTATTAACACTTTCCAGAGCAAATCACAACCAGGCTAACTGAAGGCTTCCTGGGATTTTCTTCCAGACACAATGAATTTGAGCTTACTTTAGAAAGCCTCAAATCTAATTCTCTGAAAAATCCCTCCAGTGGCTTTCTCCTCCTTGAATTTGCGGCAACCTTTGTGAAACCAAGATCAATAAATCAATTTGCTCTGCTACTTAAAAATCCTCATTTTGCCAGTTTATGAGCATTATAAGCATGGAGAGAAAACTTCCTATCACTTACCTTTGCTTTAATTCCCCCTAATAAGAATAATATGTAAAGTTAGAATAGAGCTACCACAATCCAGATGCCACTTGTGATCATCCTCACCCTTTTCTGCATGTTTGGCTAATTTTTGCAGCACCAATCCAGTAGCCTGAGCTAGAATTATTCTGCATCAGACTCCTTATAAAATAGGATCCTCAGTTAATTCAAAAGCCTGTAAAATGAACCATGTTTTCCTCTCATTATCTCACCCCATTCCACCTGTCACAAATAACTGATTGAGAAGGAAGAGCCTGAGCGGAGAAGCAATTTCAATTTTTGTTCACCCCACTGCGCTGTTAGCTTTGATTTCAAACCTTGCCAATCATTACCTTCCCCCTCTTGGTAGATTATCTGGGGGGGGGGGGAATCCACAATACTTTTTTTTTTTTAAAGACCTCTGGGTAAAAGGGCATGAATGGATTTAGTGAACTAACAGTTATGTCAACGTGAAACTCAGCACATAGGGCAACCAGTCACTAATATAAGAGCAACAGACAACACAAGTATTAATGAAGCATAATATGATGTGCAGACTTCACCAAGGATGTGGCTGGGAAAACACAAGAGGGTCCTATATGGGAGCCAGGATATTAAAATAAATGTATAAGTGAAGCAATATTAGGCCTGCTACCTGAGTTTAAAAATTTTGCTTGATTAATTAGGCTATTTTAATCAAATAATTCTTTAAATTGAATTATAGATTAAAAACAACTTATTTTGAATCCAGAAACAGACACTTTTCTTTTAGATGTCTCTAGTACTAGCAACATAAGAGGTGATCTTGTCTCATTTTTTTTCACAGAAGAAGGAATGATTTTTTAAGACTGTACTTGTTATTAAGGATATGTCTCAAAACTATTTTCTAACAATTGTACCGGACACACTAAAAAAAACCCTGAGTTAATTAATTAACTAACCATCGCAGCCCTAAACGAAAGAAAAACGATCACATTCAGAACCTGAAGCTAAATTAGTTTTAAAAATGGGAATAGGGGCATCATTCGAATTGGTGCTAACGTTCTGTGGCCTGAGCAAACAAGCAGACTGCGAAAACAAGGGCATTAGAAACAGAGCTGTCCTCATCTTTATTAAGATATTTGATGGAGTGAAGTCCCAGTTAGGTTAAGACTAGTCATAGTGAAAAGGGTCAGTTTTGGGGGGGTATAATTTTTCTCCCCATAAGATAATAAATAACAGATTGAGATGTTTGTTGTTTGGTTACAAAAGTGTGGATTATCAGGGACCAGCATAAATGAAATTCCCCAGCCTGGGGGTGTCTAGGTGGATCTCCCCACAAAGCAAGGTTGAAAAAAAATATCAGGGTTTATTCCCCTTCCTTGTCCTCTCCATGTGTGATGACATAGCAGATGTTCTTGTAGTCAACATTGCCAGCTACATCTGGAGGGAAAGCGTGCCACATGTTCTTGATCTGCCAGAAAGAGAGAAGATTATGTTGAGAAGTGATAGGATTGCAGCTGATGACTTTCAATGTTTTCAATGATCATTCTAAATCAGGAGGTCTCCAATCTCTGCAACTTTAAGACTTGTGGACTTCAACTCCCAGAATTCCTCAGCCAGCTCCTTACCCATGAAAGAGGATGATTATGCCTTTTGGCACTGCTCAAGAAAAGTTATGGGTGGCTAACAAAAGAAGGATATTTCATAAGTGCTTTGTTTAATATGCTATTCAGGGTTCAGATTTCTGCTAAAGGAGAACACTATAGTTCAGTGATGGCGAACCTTTTAGAGACCGAGTGCCGACAGAGAGGGCTTTGAGTGCTGCCTCTGGCATGCGTGCCACAGGTTCACCACCATTGCTATAGTTTGTTATAGATTTCTTTCCTGGCTTGATCCTCTCAAGTCTCTGATTTGCAAGTATGGTTTTGCTCAACTGTAGTTAAGCTGACTTATGTGCAAATAGAATGTGAGTGTTCATATCTGTTTTTATTCTGGAGTTAACAGAATAGTGCTATGCAATCCTTGGAAGAATCTTATTGAGTTGGAAAAAAGTTCAGCGTTGACTTTGGCCTCAGACTGATCTCATATATATTATCTTTTATCCTTTTGTCCTCGTTCTGCAGATTTTAGATTTAATTGTTGACAACATGGAAAAATAAAACTGAAATAAAAGATCTGGGCAAGGGGACTCTAACTGAATAAAGAAAAGAATGGGACATCTGCAGGATGAAAAGAAATTTTCTTACCTCTTCTGGAGTGAACCGGTCACACTGGGTGGTCAAGAGTTCTTCCAAGCTGTAATGAGACAAGAAGAAACGTGGTATGTGACAAAGGCCCTAAATATATGTGATTTCTGATCCAATTGTCATCTAGGACATAATTTAATGGGAAGATGTAGGTGGCTTAAACAATTAATCAGGAGGAATACTGCAAAGTGCTTGCAACGAGGAGATCATGGGAACCTAGTAACAGCCATTTTAGAATTATGTCTGAACGGATTCAATGTTTCTGCTGGAAGGGAAATGGAAGGAAACACTCACAATTGCTTCTTGACACACCCCTTCCCGTCAGGGTCCAAAACTTTGAAGGCACCAATGATGACGTCCTCGGGATCAGCACCTGAGGAGATAAGACAGGAAGACTAGTGAGATGCTGGAACAGGTTATCTGTCATATAGAAGAAGACTGAGAAGAACAAGAGACTCACTCACCCTTCAGCTTCTCCCCAAACATGGTGAGGAAGACAGTGAAGTTGATGGGGCCATTGGCCTCCTTGAGCATGGCATCTAACTCCTCATTCTTCACGTTCAGGCGGCCTATGCAGAAAGGAAGAGAATTTAACTGCTGAGGATTTGATTTAAGGGTCTGATCATCCATCCAGCTTTACTTAAACTGCTCACATTATGATGCTGTTTCAGCCCCCTCCCTCTTTTCTTACCCATAGCAGCAAATGTATCTCGCAGGTCCTCCTTGTCAATGATGCCATCTCTGTTCTGGTCAATAACAGTGAAGGCCTAGGAAACAGGAGAGAAAGAGATACATTAAGCAAGTTCATGCATTATATTAAACTGGCTTGTTGACCTATTCACAATGGCTTGGTATAATGGCATAACATAATACATAAACCCAACATGTCGGGCTATAAAAAATTTACCTTCCTCTGCCTGTCCTATCAAAATGAACAGTTGCATCTCAAAATTGTAAAATAACTACATAATAGCTTTTGGATTTAAATCTATATTTAATTCTCAAGACATATCTAAACTGACTATATGTGCGTTATGTTATCACAACTTTTGCAAATCCCAATGTAGTAGAGTAGAGGCCTTCATTTCTTAAGATGAAGAGCAAGAAAGCTTTTTCTATTTTTCTGAGAACTCGTTCATCACCTGAGGACTGCCATATCAAGTGGCATGTAATTAACCCACAGCAGGGTTAAACTGGTGACGAAACTGTTTTGGTTACGTTGTTTTGGAGAGTGGCCAGTGGACAAAACCAGCAATGTGGGGTAGGTGGAAAGACAGGCAGTTGCGATGTCACAGCTGAAGCCCTGCTTTTTTGTAGAACAAAAAGGTGGGACTTTGATCACAATGATACAAAGACCAGCTTGCCCACTTTGGCCTTCTCCCTCATGGATGCCCTCAGCTGCAATGCTTTTTCTGTAGATGAAGTTCATGCCTTTAGTTCATTTAAATTTATTCATGAACCTTTGATTAATTAGAGCAGGGATCAGGAATTTGATCAGTGATTGAAGCCTGCCGGAACCGTAGCCCAAATCTAAATTGAGGACCCAACATTGTCTGTTCCTGAACTGGGTTAAGAAAAGAATGTGTATGAAAGGAGAACTTGTACAATCTGCAACAGATATGGTTGCTGAATGTATGCATCTACCTACATTTATTACTTAATAATTATATAGGTGATATATAAATGGAAAACTACATAAAACCCTACACTTGAACTAAGAGTATGTCATTTCTTCCGTTTCATAGCATAAGCACCTTTATAGTTGAGCCATATGGCCTGCCATCTTTGATTTTGCACAAATATCCTCTCAGAAAGGACATTTCAACTTGACTTTGAAAACTGGTGTCTACCAGGCAGGAGAAATAATTATGGAATTTTGAATAATGAGTCGCTTCTGTATCCCTCTCTCTTTCCAGTTCATTGTGCAAAGTCCTTCTGGTCTTCAGTGATGCAAACTGGATACAGCCTTTGATTTCAAATAACCATATTGTAACAGCAAAAGCTCAAGAAACCAATCAGTGAAAAATAACAGTAATTCAGTATTGTTGACCTAGCTGGTTACTATGCTAAGTCAGCTTTGAAAGAAACGTCCTTGGACAGATGCATGCAACATCAAGGCACAAATTGCGTTTTATCAATTGCAAGAGCTAGATTCATACAATACATTAATCCAAATTAAATAAAATGATAGCTTATTGTGAAACGCAAATCCAGCCAAAGAGATAACCATATAGAGCCAAAGAAAGAGGATCTGTCAGTGATTTTGGTAATCATCATCTTCACCCTCAACAGTTAAAATTTGTATGCCACTGGGCGTTCAACAACTCTGGAAGGCTCCTGATAAACAAATTGCAATAAAATCAATAAAACTTAAAAAGATGAGAAAGGCGATAAAGTGAGGGATCTCCCTTCTTTTGCCCAGATCTTCATGGCTTTTCTAAACAAGAGAAGTGGGCCCCATCTGAATCTCGGGAAGAACCTCATTCCAGAGAGCAGGGAACAAAAAATTAACTAGCTGCCGCTGAACCCTTGACACAAAATAGTAGCTCCCTTATGTCTGTGCATAGTTCAAGGCACTCGTAGTTGTTCTTTAGCGCTCAGTAGGTTTACCGGACAATTTAAATTAAAGTATTCTAATAAACATTCTGGACTGGATATTAAAAAAAGAACTCAGTTGTTTGTCTAGTTGTCTGCTTATAGGACTGGAAACATGTTAACTCCAGCTAATGGGATCCTCCTCACCCTCCTCCCTTTTCTGCAGCTGTGCCCTGGAAACACCTGTCATTCGATAGCCTTCTTCACTTCTGCCAGGAATGTGAACAACCTTAAACTGTCTCATGTTAAGCCCCAATCCCTCCCTAAGGGGACAGGTGGTACATTCTGAAGGGGCTGTTGATGAGGTCTCCAAGGGCTGGCAGGCACTGGTGGAATTCTCCCCTCCTCTTATGGGTATGCCCCCTCCTTTTTTCTTTCTTCTTGGGTCTAACTCTTTCCAAATAGAAATGAAATGCTATATTTTTTTCAAACTGAAAGGGGCTGCATCAGTCAAAACGTCCACCCCGTCAAGCAAGTCCTTGGTGTCTTACTCAGAGGGAATGAAGCTCTTTAATCCAAGGGTAATGTTTGCTGTGTCATCCAAACCTAGAATGGCTATCACTTAGGGTTCAGGAGAATCAAAATGTGTAATCTACAACCAGCCTGGATTTCAAATTCCACTTTTTAACACCCAAAAGCCAACAAACCAAGCCCAAGGAATTGGTTAAAGAGAAGCATGTAAATAAAGATGGTGGAGAAACTGGGCTTGTTTTTCAGATTTTTCAGACTCAGTATAATGTGTGAATTCAGTCCTGATCCGAAGAGCAATATGGATTCTCCACACTGTGAAAGAAGGGGAAACTATGATCTTCCAGAGAATCGATAATAGGTGGGTAGAAGTTGCATCATCTCAACAATCTAATCTTGTAATTTGGATGTTGGCTGGAGAAGTACCTCAGGAAGCTTTTCCAACGCATGTTAACACACACACACCCAACACACACAGATGAAAAGGTCCTAACTACTTTGGGTAGAAGCCGAGAGAGCTAAGGTAACACCAGCACCCCAGTGTCAGCAATGTATTCAGCACTTGTCTGTGGAGACTCTCAGTCACCCAGGTTCTAGTTGTCTCAAAGGAGCTTTTTCAAAAGGCAACTGCTCTGTTTTTTTCCTTGAGGGAGAAAACATTTCGCTTCTTCATCACAACTGGTGAAGCTTCTTGGATGAGAAGTGAAACATTTTCTTCTTCTTCCTCAAGGAAAAAACACACCAGTTGCCTTTTACTCAGCACTTGCTGAATAATGGCGAAAAAGATCCTCTGCTCTGAGGAAGTTTGCATTCTAGGTGTAAAAGCAGAAAGGGGTATTCTGAAGCAAAGCAAAGATAACTAGAAATCTTGATGGCAAACTTACCCTGTTTCCCACAAAAGTCTAAAAAATATTCTAGCTAGAAAAATACTGTGTATGACACACACCTTCATCCTGAGTCAGATCATCAGTTTATTCTCTTCACTGTTCCGGAGGGCAGGATCTCTCCAAAGAGATCCAATCCAGTATGGAATTCAACA